GTCAGAGCATCTAACCTATATTTTTTTCTTACTGTATGGGCTTCTAGGTTAATTAGTAAAAAATTTTTTTGTTTAGTTCTTTGGTTTTGTTTTTATCCCAATTTAAAAATGAAAGAACAGGACGTGCACTTCCGACACATTTTATTGTATTACTTCCGAAAAGGCAAGAACGCATCGCAAGCACAAAAGAAGTTATGTGCCGTATATGGAGATGAAGCCTTAAAAGAAAGGCAGTGTCGAAATTGGTTTGAAAGATTTCGTTCCGGTAATTTTTCACTGAAAAATTCACAACGATCTGGCCGCCCAGTCGAAGTGGATGAAACCCATATCAAGGCCATTATCGATTCAAATCGTCACAGCACAACACGAGATATTGCAGAGAAGCTCAATGTGTCGCATACATGCATTGAAAAAAAAATTAAAAACCCTTGGTTATGTCAAGAAACTTGATTTATGGATCCCTCACCAGTTAAAGGAAATTCATTTTACGCAACGGATTAGCATCTGTGATTCGCCGCTACTGAAACGCAATGAGAATGATCCATTTCTGAAGAACCTAGTTACTGGCGACGAAAAGTGGATAGTTTATAACAATGTCGTTACTCGCAAGAGATCATGGGTGAAGCAAGATCAACCAGCCCAAACAGTATCAAAAGCAGAGATTCACCAAAAAAAGATTATGCTGTCAGTCTGGTGGGGGGATCACAAAGGAATTTTGTATTTTGAACTCATGCGGCAGAACCAAACGATAAATTCAAATGTGTATGTTGAAGAACTCGAAAAAGTGAAGGATGCAATTGAAGATAAGCGGCCGGCATTATCAAATCGGAAGGGTGCTGTTTTCCACACATCTTTGGTTACTCGGCAAAAATGATTGGAACTGGGTTGGGATGTTTAGTCACACCCACCATATAGCCCTGACCTTGCGCCTTCGGATTACCATTTGTTTCGTTTCATGCAAAACTCGTTAAATGGTAAAATTTTTAACAACGCGGATGATGTGGGATCACACCTAATTCAGTTTTTTAATAGCAAAGACCAGACATTTTACGAACGGGGAATTTTTACTCTGCCAGAGGGATGGAAAAAGGTCATCGACAAGAACGGCCAATATCTAATTGAATAAAGTTATATTTTTAAACAAAAATTCCGAATTTGCCTTCTTATTTGAAATCGGCAATGACTTAGTTGCCAGCCTAATATTTAATTTTGCACAGTGAGTTAATTGTAAGTTTATTTTTCAAGTGGGGCTTTCATTTAATCGAATTAATAATAATATAATAATATTATTAATAATATTTCCAATGCTTATTAAACATGGAAATAATCACAAAATTCGATATTTAACAATATTATACATTGGTTCTTTTTTCTTTGCAACATTTCCAAAGGACCAACATATGAGACACTCCACAAAGACGACAGGACAAGTGTTAGAGGCCTTGAGGGATAAAAACTAACTGCTTTCTCAAGAAAAGCAACTTCAATCCTGCAACTAAAAGCAGCTAGCTATGTTTCAACTCATTTCAGAATACTTGCAATTATCTGTAAATGGTTAACGAGGTTCAACGATGCACAAGAGAAAATTATTTCATTGTGGTTTTTCCATAGTAGCACTAAGGCCGTGTTTGATATCGCCGGTTATAAAGCACTTTAAATTCTTCTTGGATGGTGATATTACTAGCACGATCTCATGGAGCCATGTAGGATCAGGCTGAAAAATGCTGCTGTCAAGCAACATGAAAGAGAAATAGGACATTGACAGCACACTGGTGGTAAATCTTTTAGGATCTCGTACAATTCTCCCTCAAACCCCTACCTCCCTATCTTCCTTTAGAAGGTCTTTAAAAGAAGGGGTCAACAGATGCCCAAAGGTAGTGAAAAATGACTGAGTATTAAAGGAGCGAACATTCAGACGCACATTAAACTAAGTAAACAGAAAATGTTACCTGACAGGAGGGGCTTTCGTTTAATCCACCAGTGCACTTTGTTCTTGATTTACTATTCAAGATTCAAGTATATTGATATTACCAACAACTGCATGTCTTTAGTTTCATCACAGCGGAATATGTTTCTGTGGTGCGTTACTGATGATTGAATTATTGTGACCGAAACAGCGGAATAATGGAGTGATGATAGGGGAAGATGAAGTGATTGTTTCCAGCGGAAACGTTCCCATTGTCATAATTTCCCTCGCCACCACCTGGGGCAATTGAGCCATCATCTGCATCACCTCCTAAATCACAGCCTGGAGTATTTGAGTCATCATCTGTATTACGGTTATCTTTGCCCTCTTTTTCATTCTTTGCAAATTGTCTGCTGCTCCTCAATGATACCTCCGATACCATCGCAAACAGGGCAGTACAATATAACAATGCAAACATGAGGCTATGGGTTCTCATCTCTTTCCCCTATATGCATTCATGAGTTCTAAAAAGGTCTCTCCTTTTATATCTACCAATCATGTGGGCCACACCTTTGATGTGAATTTCGAATGAATGATTGGCTTTGATGACTTAAGCTAATTTCAATCGCTCTATAAAAGTGTATGTTGGGGCACACTTCACTTAATACACTCCATTTATTTTAAGTAAAGTCATCGAATACGGTGAGAACAGGCTGTGGGGGATTTGATTAAACGTCGTCATGACTGAGTTACCTACTACTACTACTACTCATAAAAGGTGCATGAATTGTGGAAATTTTTGGGAGTTGTTGCCTGAACCTACTCGCATAAAACAATTTAGGTTCTGTCAAACTATTATCAGGTTACCAGCCAATAATTAATCAAAGGTTAACTTTACTAAGAGAGTAGAATTTTATTAAAAGATTCTTTCTTGATCAATCGACTTGATAAAAATTGAAAAATGCCAGTAGTGACATTTAAATTGAAGTAGTGCAGACAAAAAACAGCAAATGTACCTCTTAACTGTCCTGCATTTCGATTTAAAAATGAACACTTCATCTACCGTCGTCAATAGCATTTATGGCTAGGGCTAGTTAAGAGAGCCTGTTAGATTGTAATATTCTTTCAAGTGGCAGGCTTTATGATATTCATCATTAGCCCTTAAACATTGACTTCAGCTTCCCCCATGGGTGGGGGGTACATATATAGCAGTTTATTAATGGCAGTTCATTAGCTGTCTTCTTGCTTCCCAGTATCTCTGGCTTTCCGTCGTTGTCTTGAAGGCTGAACGTCGAATCATGTGGGTCTTCCGCATTTCTCCCCGTAGGTTACATAGAGGGCACGTGGGATGAGTGTATACTCCCAATCTGTGAAGGTGTTTTGCCAAGCCGTATACTCCCAATCTGTGAAGGTGTTTTGCCAAGCAATCGTTAGGTTACATAGAGGGCATGTGGGTTGAGTGTATACTCCCAGGCTACATAGGGGGCATGTGGGTTGAGTGTATACTCCCAATCCAGAGGGCATGTGGGTTGAGTGTATACTCCCAGTCTGTGAAGGGCATGTGGGTTGAGTGTATACTCCCAATCTGTGAAGGTCCATGTGGGTTGAGTGTATACTCCCAATCTGTGAAGGTGTACATGTGAGTTGAGTGTATACTCCCAATCTGTGAAGGTGTTTTGATAGGCAATCGTGTTCGGTACGTAGTCTAAACTCATCAACGGCTATCTGTGAAGGTGTTTTGTCAAGCAATCGTGTCCGGTACGAATCTGTGCAGAGGGCATGTGGGTTGAGTGTATACTCCCAGTCTGTGAAAGGGCATATGGGTTGAGTGTATACTCCCAATCTGTGAAGGGGGCATGTGGGTTGAGTGTATACTCCCAATCTGTGAAGGTCCATGTGGGTTGAGTGTATACTCCCAATCTGTGAAGGTGTACATGTGAGTTGAGTGTATACTCCCAATCTGTGAAGGTGTTTATAGGCAATCGTGTTCGGTACGTAGTCTAAACTCATCAACGGGACGTAGTCTAAACTCAGCAACGGCTTCTGTCCGATACGTAGTCTAAACTCAGCAACGGCTTCGATTCTCGTAGTCGGCTATGTCGGAGAGTGCCACTGTCCACTGTTTCTCTGTTGTTCGAGCTTTGAGTTCGTTGAACCTTGAGGTCTGGAAAGCCGGGTATGTCGGAGAGTGCCACTGTCCACTATTTCTCCTTTGGGGCTATATCGGAGAGTGCCACTGTCCACTGTTTCTCCTTTGCTATATCGAAGAGTGCCACTGTCCACTGTTTCTGATTCTTGGCCCGCCGGGTATGTCGGAGAGTGCCACTGTCCACTATTTCTCCTCTATGTGGTAGAGTGCCACTCTCCACTGTTTTTCCTTTGTTCGAACTTTAAGTTCGTTGCAATCGGAGAGTGCCACTGTCCACTGTTTCTCCAAGCCGGGTATGTCGGAGAGTGCCACTGTCCACTATTTCTCCTCTATGTCGGAGAGTGCCACTGTCCACTGTTTCTCCTTGGGTCGAGCTTCAAGTTCGATGCACCTTTAGGTCTGGAATTCTCTTCTGATTAAGGCCTTCATTGTGTGGAAAGACATCGGCCGGTTCCTGCATTGCAAAATCGTTGTCCCCTTCTTAGCAAGTGTGTCAGCAAGCTCATTGCCTTTAATGCCACAGTGACCAGAAATCCATTGTAGGACGACTGTTTTGTCTTTCTCTCTCAGCAGCTGATACAGTTTTTTACATTCGTATATCTCAGCTGTTCTGGGTGGTTCTCTGTTTCCAATTGAGTTCATTGCTGACTGTGAGTCCGAAAGTATTACTGCTTTGGTGAATTTCGTATCGAGGCAATATAATTGGCTTAGTGCTATCCTAATGGCCTCTATTTCTCCTTCGAAAGCAGATCTATTGTGTCTTACTGCTACGTAGAAAGAGAAGAGTTTAGAGTAGACATTTGTACCAACATTTGCTTGGTTTTCTATGTAAGACCCATCAGTGAAAACTTGGAGCCATTGATCTGCAGGATAGTTGACATTGATTGTCTCAAGGGCCAGTGAGGGCATTTGTTCCGGAGGGGTGTTTGATTTCCTGAAGTGGTCATGCAGTTGGGTGCAACACACTACATCAGTGTCTGCTAATGTGTTCATGGGTAGAGTGAGACTTTTTGGTTTGTTATCGATTTGTAATGCTTTCTTTAGTTCTATGGCTTTCTGTTTTAGACCAGATTGGGTTTTCACATGTCTTGGTGTTTTCTCATAGGTGCTAAAGAAATTATCCATGGGAATGCGCAGAACTTTCGCGTACAGGATCAAGGCCTTCTCTTTGATAAGGGAAAATGTCGTGGTGCCCCCTATAACCAGGAGCATTGCATCAGTGGGTGTTGATTTTATCCCTTCAGTAATTAGTTGTAATGCTTGATTGTTGTTCACTGAAACATAAATTTCAAAACAGTATGTAATAATACTATTATTTAACTTTATAGTAGTGCCAGTATTCTATGCCAGAGATGAATTAAATTTATCCGAAATTTATTGAAACATAAAATGTATTTTGATAATTAAAACACCTAGATCTTCTTCATTTAATTACAATCTTATCAACTATGTGTTTTTTTATAAGCAGTGACGTAAATTTCTAGACACTCTATTGCCATATGTTGGATCTGAAACTTTTCTAAATTGTAACTACTGCGCCTAACTATGACCTCAACAAATATGTACCGCTCCACTTGAATCTCAATTTCTCTACTTATTCCGCCTCTGTGATTTAAGAATTTTAGTCTCAATTCCATATACTTCTTTCGCTCAAAATAAATTACAAGAAACACACCTGTCTTCTTGAAGTTTGAAAAGAGAATGGCATTATATGCCTTTGGGCTCAAAGTTCAAATGACGATGAATCAATACTGTCAAGTCACGTAATTCTTTCGAAGTGCCACGCATTAGATTTGAATTAACAGACCACAGTGTGGTTTTTACCATCTTTCACCATTTATATTTCTTCTACGAATTTGTTTAACTGCCAGTCATTAAAGAAAATCTTCTAGTGATACAATCAATTTGCTTAACATCTGAGATATTTTTATCTCCATCAAGTGGCGAGTGCACCCCACATCGATTAGCTTTGAAAATTCTCTTTCAAAAGTGGTGATGGTTGCTGGTTGCGGATTGCATTTCATGCACAGACGTATTGAGAATCGAGTTAGATCCTATAAATTTTTGAAGCGCAACGAAATCGATAAACTTAAAAATAAATTCCACCATATACTTCATTAGCACACAATGGGTTTTACGTCAGTTTATTTTTAACTCGTTTGAAAAATTAAGTGTCTCCTGGCTATAGAGTAGTATGTGGATCCTCAATTTGTGCCCACACCGTCGTTGTGAAGTTGCAAAGAAAAGGGAAACGCCAATTATCACAGTGGGCAAAATTTAATGATTGTCATGTAAACATCTGACAAATTTAGCTGAAAGCAATTGTGAAACAGATGTTCGTGTGGGAGGACGACGGAGTTTGATGCCGAAAGGAAAACTGCCTTCAAAAAGATAATTTACTAAAACTTATTCACTTTTTCCTTTACGATTCTTAACAATATCAGGTTTCGTAATTTACTTTTAACTAAGATAAGGGAACGCGTATCAATAAAAAAGCAGTTGTTTCAATTTCTTGATTCACTACTTCTACTGGAAATTGAACTCAAATGCCGTTCTTGAAAGACTAGTGATCCATACTACCTGACCACTTTAAAACACTCTTGAGATTTGATATCATATCGTCAAATTTGTGCAAGCGATCTATATCTCAAGATATTAGAGATAATTTGGCTGGAACCCTGAGAATACTTATGTATTCTCCTGCTCCGAGCACGTGTATTGCATTTCGTTCTATCTGCCATGTTATAGAATATGCTCGTTTGACAAATTCAATTTTTTCTGAAAGAATTCGTTGGTTTGTGAGTATAATTAGAAATATATGGATTCGAGGCTGAAAATAGGGAATAAATAGAGAAATTGAGATCCATGTGAAACGGTACACGTTGAGCCTTTTTTCTATAGTTCTCATTGATGAAATATTTTAATATAATGTTAGTGGTAGTAGTGATTATTTCGAAGACAGATCAAATCCGCTGCTTTTCCAACGAAGTAGGATACGAATGTAATCAAACATGAAAGTTTCAGCTCCAGCAGTTGGTAATAAAGCACCTTAAAATTTAAGCCACTGGTGGTAATAAATACCTAGTAGAAAAGGGTGTAAATAAGTGAAAACTATTTAGGTATTTTAATTATCCAAATAAATTTCATGTTTCAAGGAATTTCGAACAACTTTAATCCCCCTTAGGCAAAGAATATTTGCACTACTATAAATCTAAATAGTAGTGTTATTAACTACAGTTTAGTTATTCATGTTTTAGTGAACATGAATGTATGGATCTTATTTTGGTTAAGATAACTGTAATTGATGAATGATGCATGCTTAAACTTATATACTTTCATACGTTTTATACGAATGTTAAACAAAGTGCTAAGATGTGCTACAATGTCAAGTTAATGATATATTTATCTTCGAATAGCGTCTAAACACAATATCTAAGGACCAAGATTCATTGTGAAGTTATTACCGTTTCTGAGTGCATTTGATGTCTTGTCACCGAAATGCATGGCCGCATCGACATTTTTGTTAGAAACCATGTCAAAATAACAGGTAATAATTTTAATCAACGAGTGAATCAAAAATAGGGAAAGTTAGAAATTACCTTGCATTATTAATTTTTTTATTTATTTCAAATGACAGGCGTTTTGACAGTTATCAACAGTCCTTTAGCTGACTTTGGACTTCACAGAGGGAAGGAACATCAAAGTGACAAAAAGTCGACAATAGGGAAAGAATAATGATTCAGAGATGTAAAAGAGACCGACAGACACAAAGGCAGAGAAAAGATAAGATGAGTACTGTTGAAGTGGTCGAAAATGACATACAGTGGGGTCATGGTTGCTAGAAGTCAGGAGTCAGCTGCCAGCTAATAGACGTTTTGTCATATGAGTATACGCTGCCCAAGGTGCTCCGTGTATTAAGAGTTTGCTGAATTGCGAATTCCTAGAGAGTTAAATAAAATATGATAGACACGGCATATTTCTCACCACAAAGACTCTACATCAAAATCCCCCCCAAATGTGAAATAGTGGACTCTCTTCAAAAAATGAGCTTACTATGTAAATACATTGCTAAGCATACCAGCTGAAGTAGGACGTAGTTTTTCAAACACCATTCCAACTTTCCTTGACTTGAAATTGTCGAGAGTTAGTAACGATTCATTGCGCAATACATTCCAATGCTTCAATCCACTCTTATTAATAAATTTGACAAAAATCGATTGAGAGGAAGTTTCAGAAGACTATTCAAGGAGTCCCACAGTTTCATGTCACCTGTGTACTCTTTCCCGTCGTGATTAACTATACCACTTCCATCCATCTGCCATTTGTCGAATTTGGAGCATATTCTGTCAAAATTACATTCAAAGTGAACAAGTCCGCAAGTTTAATATACTAATCAGTTTTCTGAGACATTTGCTTAGCAAACAGAACATTCTCGTTTTCCTGTCCTTAATCACATTATGCCGAAAACTGTTTCTAGTCTTACCAGACTATTTTTCCTGATTTGCAAAACAGTTTGTCCATTATTTGTAACCTTGAATTCATTTGCAGCAAAAATATACTATAATTTATATTTCAACAAGGATATTCCATTTGCTTAGCAGGTTGTTCAACTCGAAAGGGAAAGATTGATTTGTCTGCCTGAATGGTGTCACTGCACTAATCCGCCTCCTACAAGAGTGCAATAGGCAGTGGAGCAAACTTCATTGCACATGCTCCATTTATTTTAAGAAAAGCCATGAAATTTATAAAATCACTTGGGAGCAGACTGTGGAGGAATAGATGATAAGTGTTGCTGATTGAGTCACCCCAACAGCATTCCGCATTGCGGCACTCAAGTAGATTAGCATAAACGTCAATTTATTTACAGCACATTTCAAGTAGACTCAAATTTCAATCAATTTGTGACGCAAAAGATCATTTTTACATTATCGCGCGCAAGATAAATTTGGGTCTTGTTATTTTCATTGTGATCTCATGAAATGGACTTGAGTGATTGATGAGTTTAGTAATAGCAATGAAACCGACACTGCCTACAAAATTGACAATTGTCCTCTACAGGGACATACTGGCCAAAACCACAAAAAGTTGCTAAAATTTGACAAAATAGGGTTTTATGAATGTTCGGCTTTCAGTGAGTTTAAAACAGATTCATCCTTACATAAAAAGCCTAACCAACACCATTATTCATTTTGCAACTTAAAGCATCAGCAAAAGTTGAGCCCACAATCAAATAGGCTTATTTGTGAATCCGGAGTGAACACTTTTAACAAACAAACAAATCATATTTGCTAGAATTAGAGACCATAGGAAGTTAATAATTGTATTATAATGGAAATATGAGTAATTAACATTTATCACCTGGTCAATATATATATATATATCTGCATTTCAACCGACCAACTTGATGGAAAACTAATCCATCTTCCAGTTCAAATAGTCATTTCCAAGTTGTCTCTCCTCATTTCTGGATGGTTTTGTTCCTCTTGCGAAAGTCTAGTTCAGCATCTGGTTGGGAAGTTGAGTATGAAGCTGTCTAATTGGCAGATATGCAATGCATCGAATCAGCCACTGAGTCAGGACCAGCATCGCCCCTGTTCAGATAACAAGTACTCAGTGATGCTTACAGACATCTTTTCTTTTACACATTGGCCCCATAACTTAGCAACACGAGTTATTTGAGCAATCAACTAGTGCCGTTGTACAGCCTCATCCATGTTCGAACTAAGATCTGACTAGTTAATTATTTCTAACTGACACCTAAATCCCACCTCGTTTTTAATGACCCCCACATGATTCCGCCTGAATGATAACTCGAATGTAGCATTTTCGACACGATGTGAGAAGGTAACTTGCTCTATTGGCTGTTACCAATTACTTAAATTAATCCGTTTAGTTGCACTCGACCCGTGGAATGTCCCATATTCCTCTTCGTTGAAATAAATTTAATATCACTGGGACGATGTTTCAGAATAAAATAAACCTTAGTTATGGTGATTACCATTCGATACAAATGTGATCGTGATCACTAGCCGATTATTCAATAAATGATCAATTAAAATCAAAATTTGAAATAGGTTAAATACTAATTATGAACACCATTCCTTTCCAAGTGACAATATTGCTTGAAAGTTACTCCAGAACAATTACCTGTGTAAGAATAGCGCAAATTTTTACTGGAAACCTACCATTATGCTCGGGCTATATAAGTGAATATGGAAATCAATGCTTATTTATTTCGATATAAAGTTTATGAGGTACCACAATCACTCGCCAACTCAATTGATTTATTAAAGCTAGTTTAACTCAGGCTGAATTCGTTATGTTCTTAAATAAGATAAATGAAGTCCCCGTAATACGACATAAATCGATTTGTTGACAAATTAAAACAAAATTGGTGAAATCAGAATTAAGAATTCAATTGATTGAATTTAAAATTATTAATTAATTGCTTTAAAAAGAAGTAAATATTGTGAAAGTTTAAGGAAGAAAAACTAGAATTTCAAAGCCAAAGAAAATAAGGAAAGAGCCGTAGCAGTGATGTAAGGAGTAATGATGTTGGATGCTGAAGTGGTTGTTTCCTTTTGAGCTCCACTTCCTCCACCGCCATTTTGGTCACCACCTGTGCCACCACCTCCACTGCCACCACCTGTGCCACCATCTCCACTGCCACCATCTGCGCCACCGTCTCCACTGTCACCAGTTTGACTATCGTTTCCCTGCGCCTCTGGTGCCATCGCTATCAGGGCCGTCAAAAACAGCAAAGCAAAAATGAGGCTCTGAGTTCTCATTGCGTTTGCTGATGTGTACTCATGAATTCCAAGGGAGACTCGTCTTTTATACCTAACAATTGTGTGGGCCACACCTTTGCTGTGAATTTCTAACGAATGAATGGCTTTGGTGATTTGACATTATTTCATCTTCCTGATGGAATTGTATAGGCTTTTATAACAGATTTTTCAGTCATTATAAGTCGATTTTCCTGCAAATCTATGTTTTTAAAGAATTTGAAAAAAAGTAATCTTTAGTAATTATTTCAACAAAATAAACTCAAATATTTTTAACAGCGTTATTAAAATTTGTGCATAAAAGGCACGTTTTTGTAATTAAACAGTCATTATTCCAATCTGTGACAATTTCTTGAAACAATTTCAGCTTCTTTGGCTTTTTTGTGGATCATCAAAACAATTGTTTTGATTTTTTGAAATGTATGTGGGGGAAGCGAATTTCGTTGTCTTTATATAGGCTTTTAAAGCAATAATTATGACATCATAACTCCTTTCACTTTATTTTTTCACTTAATGATAGAGTTAGCAACTATCGACTTACATCTCTTTTAAAATTTCTGATTAGCTGTGTCTGACTTATTCTGTGGCCTCATTGGGATTCATTTATCATGGTCAAATGAAAAATGAGTTAATGGTATCTTGTTCGAAGCAGGAGGAATACGTTTTCAAAATGTCAGTTTTGATAGAGACAGGAGTTCCGTTGGTATTTAGCGCCTGAGTGACTGAGATTGTTGCAATCCTTCTTCCTGAAAGTTTGTTTATTTATATCTAATGGCAGCCGTTTTGATAGTTGCTGACAGACACAAAGGTAGAAAAAGGTGAGGTGAGTAATGTGAAAGTAGTCGAATATGACATACAATGGGGTGATGGTAGTTTGAAGTGAGAAGTCAACTGCCAGTTAATGGACTTTTTTGCCGTATGAGTATACGCTACCCAGTGTGCACCACTTGGAGGTAAATCTGTCACACACCCCTCTTTGTAAAATATACATTCATTTATTCACTTTTGTTGTGAATAGCTCTGGAATGAAATGAGCTCATTTGTTTAACTAAAGGGGTTTGTAAAAGTACCTAGCTCTTTGGAGCCATGAATAAGGTAGCTGCTCTGTGAGATTTAGTCCCTACTTCTTAGCTTCGATTCCCAGCGTCTTGGTTCACTTGTGACCAACACATTTTTATGCCTACTACTACTTCCAGCTGTTGTTGCGTACCTTCCACTGAATCATTATTTTGTTGCCCATATTTTAAGTGTACATGAATTTCACCCTTGAACCCATGAACAAATATTCGATCCCCATCACATATAGAGACCAGAAATGGAATGGTTTCTGTACATTATATTCAAATATTTTTCAAAAATATCGCTAATTTAAGTTTTGATCAATAAGCA